TGCATGATCTTCTTGAGGGTGTGGCTCAGTACGAAATTAAACTGCTTTTTCAATATCTCACACAAAACTTTTTATCTGAACAGGATTTGCTTTCCAGAATTTATTCTTTTGATTATGGATTTTTAGAACGTAAAAACCGACCCACAAAGGTTATCTTAGAGAGTGCTGGTAATGGCATTGGTTTGAATTCTATTCAGACATTGTGTCTTGTAAAAAACATCCCACTGTTATTTGGCGACATTGTTCCTCCAGGAAACAAACACTGGAGTCTGTTGCTTTTATTGCTTCAAATAATGAACATAGTTTTTTCACCTTCTCTCACTTTTGGCATGACAATTTATTTGAAACATTTGATTGTTGACCACCACAAATTATTTAAGTGTCTGTATCCACTTAAAACATTATTACCTAAACATCATTTTATGATCCATTACCCATTTTCTATAAGGAAAATTGGCCCCTTGTTATATATGTGGAGTATGCGGTTTGAAGCCAAGCACAAGTGGTTTAAAGATTCTTTGAAAAACTTTAAAAACATAACTAAATCATTTGCAAAAAAGCATCAGATGGCCATTGCCCATCACTGGGAAACCTTCACCCTCAGTAATATTGAGTATGGGCCAATTAAGTCATTTTCCCTGACACCTGAGAATGTTGTCAACATTGAAATGCTTGACGTGAACTTGTCAAATGATGTTTTCTCAACAAGTTGGGTTAAAGTTGATGGTGTAGAATATAGAGCTGGACTTGTAATTTGCACTGCAGTGGAAGATGATTTGCCAGTTTTTTGTGAAATAAGTGATGTACTTTTGGTTGAAAATCTGATTTATCTATTAGCAAACAAGCTATTCACAGAGATTTTTGATGAACATCATCATGCATTTAGAGTACTGCGAAGTGAGGAAAGGTGTATTGTTAAAATGTCTAAGCTTAAATTTTATAAGCCGTTTGACATTCAAAGTTCTTATAGTGTTGCAGATGAAGGTTTGTATATTGTACTTTGCTTTGTAATTTAATTGAATTACACAATTGACTTGGAATTGGGAAAGAAAACAAATAAATGTTGTTGTTATGGAAATTAATTTGTGTGTGGATTTTATTTAACACATTTTAAAGTACATAGGTTAACACTGAACAGAGTGACACTACCACTCCCAAATGTAACTCTGAAGTATTTAATTTTAATCCCTCTTGGTGTTTCCTTAACACTTTTATGAGTTAAAAGGTAACTCTGAAAAAGTGTTAAATATTTAACTTTTTAGTGTTAATTTAACTCTGGAAAGTGTGGAGCTATATAAACTCTGAAACAGAGTTAAAATCAACTCTGTGAGAGTCAACTCAACACTGGACTTTTTACTGTGTAGCCGACCTGACTCCGGTCTTTGCCCCGGTGTGCCGCCCGCTGGTTCCCGCCCTGATGTCCGCTCAGGGTCTCGCATCCTAACCACGTGTGGTCATATTATTAGGCACAGCATTTTCTTGTACATTTCATTCTGGTTAGACGGGAACGTTTGTCATTATAAGGAGAAGCCGGAGAGGGGGTATTTACTTCCAGAGTACGTTGTTACTACGCAGCTGTACTCTGTATCTCTCTGCTCAGCTGGACCTTCAGGTGAACCTGGGTCCTCCACTTGACTTTTCTCCCCGACTAAGTCTAGTTACTGTTAGCTGTTGCTGTTCAATCTGAACCTGCAGCCTGGTCTTCGTTGTGGTGCCCTGGTGAGGACTCCTGCCCCGGACACACTGGCTGTTTCCTGCACCTCGGAGTGTCGTGTACTGCAGACGCAACAGAAATCGGCCGTAGCTCGGTTTCTTTTCTCTGGGACACTTCTCTGGACTCGGGGATCAAGGAAATAGACGTAAATCTGAAGTAACAGTAAGTGCGATGCAGGTTGTGTGTCCCCGTGACAGCAGTTCGTAGACACGCAGCCCGACGTGTTCGTCCGGTTCACCTACACCCGAGAGGCGTCCTCGCCCAATCAGTCTCCGTGTCCAACACGCACAGGTAAGACACGACCTTCTCACGTCTTCTGTGGTTTCTGCCAGATTAATGTTTATGACAGAAAGCGAAGGAGACAGGTCACCGCAGGTTTATGAGGAGGGGTTTGTTTAGTGGAGCCTGGCCGTTATTGGTTTCTCATAATCGATTATTGATAATAGCTCTGCCACCACAGGATAAAGATGGAGGCCCTGATGGAGCCTGTGTGTGTCCGCCATTCTCTTAAATGTTGATATCTGCGAACAAGAGCGTTTTACTCATTTGTGTCCTCACGTCCGGGCTCAGACTCGTTTGTCTCCAGTGAAAATTAAGTGGAAAGTAAAAAAGCCAGATGCTGTAAGTTCCGAGATACTGTAGTTGAGTCCAGCACACATTCTCTACTGTGTTGCATGTATTCAGCTGTTTTGCTGAATTTTAATACAAACTATAATGAACTAAGAAGTCATGATGTATCACTACAGTTAAGCCACTGGGCAGTATGTGAAGTACTTTAAATCACTGGTACAAGCTGCATCACTGAAGTCACATGTACATGAATCCATTCAGAATATACTGAAATGTGCGTGGGCTGTAGCATTTCTGTTGTCTCCAACTCTTTACCTGATATGGTTCATGTCAGATGGAAAAACACCATTTTAGTTTATTTGTAACAGAGTATTTCTACATGGCAGTAATACTAGGTTTACTGAAGTAAAAGATCACTGCTAAATGTGCCTGAGCATCAGAACCTGTGCACACTTAGATCAGTGAAGCTGGTTGTGTTGTTGTGGAGCCAGGTGCAGCCTGGTGCCTCAGATCCTCACCATTAACTTTAAACTGATGACCTCGTCCACAGTCACATCCCTGTAGCATTTCTGTTGTCTCCAACTCTTTACCTGATATGGTTCATGTCAGATGGAAAAACACCATTTTAGTTTATTAGTCTTTAAAATGTTACTTATAAAAGCGGAAAATGAATCTTTTGGACGTTTTTTGTGCAAATTCTCTTCTTTCACGACTTTTCTAAAACCTCACTTTGTGGTTGCGGCTGCTGTGATCCCTCTCTTTTCTCTGGGGATCAAGAGCGGGTTCAGATATTCCCGCTGCAGGAGTCACTTCTACACAGTGTTGATGAGGACTTTGTGGGTTGAAGCCCAGTGCTTGTGCACAAGTGTTGTAAAAGTTTTAACAACAGCTCCCATTTGACAACTGCAGCAATAAGATAATACATCACTGATAACTACTCTGCACCACGAGTACTTAGACTTTATTTCTTTCAGCTCTTTTTGCAGCTGATACCTGATGTAGGCCAGTAGCACTGTGAGTGCAGTGAGTCTGTCTCTGCTCCGGGCTCTGACCCAGCACCTACTGTGTTTCTATCCCGTGTCAGGTCTCACCATGAGCTGGTCGGTGTCGACGCAGCCTCTGTCCCACGATGTCTCCTCCGATGGAGCTGAATGGTCGACTGGGATCTGTGACTGCTGCCAGGACATGAAGCAATGTAGGGTAACACTGAGCATCATTCACCAGACCAGAGCAGATGGCCACTGCACTGAATGTGCTGGCAGGGACTGTCTGGGGAAGATGGTCCAACTCGGTGGACAGTAAAGCTGATTTGATTTGAAGAAATGGGTGGAATTTGAAAGCAGCTGTGGATCCTATTGAACTGCAAAAACAAACACTTTTTAAGTATTTGTTTTTGCAGTTCAGTTTTTGCACTCCTCAAATAATCCAGAAGTTAATTATGTTATGACCTCTCAGATGCATTTGGTGGCCCAGAGGTGGGGCCCGACCCCTACGTTGGTAACCACTGGGGTAAACTAACTACAGTAACAAAGTAGTTACAACCAGCTCCACCTACAGAACAAATCATCAGTAGATGAAATAGACATTTAACGAGCTTGTACTGTACTTTTACTTTTGATACTCTAAACAAGGCCGATAATACTTCAGTACTTTGTAGAGACCTGGGAAGCCGCTGTCCATGGCAGTCAGGTTGTCCTCCACTTTATTAGAAGGACTTGGACATAATTAAGTAGATAATTTTTTTTAAAGCTTGGTGCCTGTATTTGGTTGGTTGTCTCCAGGTTGTCGGTCCTGTTGTTATAAACAAAGTTATTTGTTTGTTATTTGAGGTTTTGAAGTTGTGAGTCTTTCTCTTTATGTTCATAGCAGACACTAGCTAGTACAGCGTGTCTGGCAGTGATGTTGTGTTAACCTTGTCCTGTCTCCTGCTGTGCTGAAGGCTGCTTTGCATTCTGGTGCTGCCCCTGCTTCGCCTGTAAAACCACCAGAGAGTTCGGCCAGTGTCTATGTCTCCCTCTGCTGGACATCTGCAGCTGCGCGCACCCCGCCACCATGTCCGTCCGGCTCGCCATCCGCCAGCGCTACGGCATCAGAGTTAGGCCACTACTCCTCACGTTTCTTGTTTGACTTTGTTTCCTGTTTGGGTTTCTTCCCTTGTTTTTTGTGTTGTTTTGGGTTTTGTTGCGTTTCATTTTGTGTTGTTTATTTCAGTTTCTTTCCTTTTTGCTTATCATTCATTGTTTTTACTTTTGTTTTGCTTCATTTCTTTTTTGTTTGATTGCATTTTCTTTTGTTTCCTCTTTGTTCTCTGTGGTGTTTCATTTCTGCTTAATTTAATTTGTGTTCAGTTCTGTTTGGTTCATCTGTACTTTTGTTGTGCTCTCTCTCTCTCTCTCTGTGTGTGTGTGTGTGTGTGTGTGTGTGTGTGTGTGTGTACGTGTGCGGACGTGTGTTGCTTTCAGGGCAGCTTGTGCTGCGACTGTGTGCACTCCACCTTCTGTACGGCCTGCGTCTGGTGCCAGATCTCCACAGAGATGAAGAAGAGGACGCTCCCCACCGTGTTCAGTGACGTATTCAGCCTAGGATGACGTCATTCTGGATCCAGGCTTCATCCGGTCTCTGGTTAATGGAGTGTTTACATGTTTACTGTCCGTCTAAAGTAAATTTTTGTGTACTTGTTTTTGACATTCTTGTATTTTCTGTAATATTTGTCACACTTTTTAATAATTGCTGATGTACTAATTTTGTTTATTCTGTAAGTTTGGTATTTTTTATTTTGTCCAAAGACATGGTACTACTATTGACTCTATACAAAAGATGGACCAACTAAAGTGTGACTTTTTTCTCATACTAATTAAATATTTAATGTGTCTATATTCAATACAGTACACTAAATATGAATGCTAAAAAACAGTTTTCATTAGGTTTTAGCTGAATGTCCATTTAGTGACTGGTGTTTAGAACAAATTATGTGACATGATCCTCCTCAGCAGTGCAAATGTCATATTTCAATAATATGTCATCCATATTGGCTTAAACATTGTTTCATAGTTCATTACTGACCCTGGTGAAAACAAACATATTGTATTTGCAGGTGTTTATATTATTTTATCCACCCAGTTTGTATCGGTGAGATTATATAAATGAAATGTTTCTCAGAATTACACAGTACAGATGAATAGCAGCACAAACTCCAAATGAAAGAAAGAAGAGAGAGAAGTAACAGACAAGAACAAAGCAAACTGCAGTGCAGTGGGGTCTTTTGTTTTGAACGGCCTTGCTGCTGTTAGTCTCCGCTGGGGGCGCTGTTCCGTCCCTGCACTGTCGATGTGCAGAAGAAGAAGAAGCTCAGGCACGTGTAATGAACCAGGAGAATGCATAGTGTAGCCGGGACACGAAAACAACTTAACTAGCATTGATTATTTGTTTCAGTCAGACTGTTCGATCAGAAATGACTAAAGCGAAGAAGGAGAAGAGTTCAGCGGACGGAGATGAGGCCACAGCCGCCGGCGGGAACGAGAAATCGTACCACGAGTTGATCGCTAACGTGAACCCGATCGCTCAGCCGCTGGCCTCCAGAAAGCTCAGCAAGAAGCTCTACAAATGCGTCAAGAAGGGTAAAAAAAATACAGAGCGAACAGACGTGGCTGTCTGCCAGCTGCTGACAGGCTCCGGTACCTGCCGGTGTTGTCCAGGTTGCTCCCGTCTCTAGTGTTTTTATGTGGACCATACCAGACGCCATCTTAAATGTTTAACGGCGTCTAGCATGTGAGCATGTTGTTATCATTGTAGGACGTGAAACCTTGGACACACGCTGGACTCTTTTGATTAATTCCGCACATGTTGTTTAAATGGTTAAAGAGGTTCACAGTGTTATGTTTTTTGTTTTCTTCGGAAAAGAAGAATCTCTTTGTTTTTGTGGATGATCGTTTGCGCAGCCTCGTGCCAGCAGCATGCCAAGCTCGCATAATCAAACATCAGATTTAATCATTTCCCGCGTGTCCGCAGGCGTTGTAGTTGTCTTTAGTCACAAAATGAGCTCTCCTACCTGTCGTTGGACTCTTCCGGTTAATTCGGTATGTAACGTGTCATTAACATGTTCGGAGATAAAGCTTCTCCGTCGTGTAAACATGGCCTGGTGCCTCCTCTTGGCAGCAGAGGGAAATATCAGAAGTGATCCTGGATCTTTGCTGATTTGCGTCAGTTTTCTTCTGTTTCTGGCTTCCTACCGAGATAACGCCGGACTCTAGCTAGTTACGAGTGCTGCAGGTTGTGAATTGAGATAAAATGCCACTTTTGGGGCTGGTATGACTAATTCAGCATACATCCTATCATAGCCTTTTTAAAACTAGGTTTTGGTTTCGTTCGGTTTTTTGAAGGAAGGTCTCATGTTGTCAGAAAACATTTGAATGGATTGGTGGCTCATGTTCCTACCTCACTGAGGCAGCTGAGAGAAGTAAAAAATATCTTGTAACTAGTTTTGTCAGGACATGTTAAAGCTTTAAGAACAAGACGTTCTTTGGCTCCTGCTCAGACTGAAATAATTTTGCTAAAATCATGATGAACTAAAATCTGAGAGTCGATGTGCACGTGAATGATTTTGCGTTGTAGACTGGATCAGTGTGTTCATGGTGTTTTCTGTGGTTCCAGCTGCCAAAGTGAAGAACATTCGCCGAGGAGTGAAGGAGGTTCAGAAGTTCATCAACAAAGGGGAGAGAGGGTAAGTCTGCAGCCAGGGCTTTATCATTTCACTGTGTTTTAAAGGGCCACTCCGTCACTTTATGACCATGTGTGCATTTCCATATTTGAGTTGGAAATCAGCTGTTTCTGGCATGCAACCAAACCTTTATCATAAACATATTTTTGTGTCTTCGTGGTGTCTGTGCAGAATTGTGGTGTTGGCTGGCGACACGCTGCCCATTGACGTCTACTGTCACCTGCCGATCATGTGTGAGGACAGAAACCTGCCGTACGCCTACATCCCCTCCAAGGTGGTGAGTGCAGATCTGCGGGTTTGAACTAAAACGTCACAGCTCAGAGTCAAACTGTACATTTGCACATAGGCGCAGCTTTGTGATGTGGCATCACCACACAGGACAGGACAAAGAGAGAAAGGTTCGAGATCCAGTGTTTTTCTTCTAAGATGACAAATTTTATCTGAAAGTCATGACATACAGTGACGAAGTTGACAATCTTTAAAAACTGACTGATTTTCTGTGAAAATATTTTTATTCTCCGGTTCATATTTATTCCATAGATACACACGTGCACGTATACTATTCATGTACACATACAGGACCTAAAACCAGGGAATACTGTAACACCTATTGATCGTTTCTTGCATCCTCAAAATTAAGACATTTCATTAAAAGCATCTTAAAAGGTCTAAGATAACATAAAAGCTCTATTAGTCCGATGATGGACTGCCGTTACAGCAGCAAAGACAAGACACAAACACTGTGTTAAGAATCAAAAAGTAACAGGCAAGGTGTCATCAATATAAACAATTGTAGCCATAATAATAAAGTAAGACACATGGTGCTCTGTAAGCTGTGTTCACAGTTATTCATAATATTTGAGGATGAACCAGTCCTAAGTGTGTCTGCTGGCTCAGGTCTTGGACTCTGGACCGTTTGTGCCTGAGGCGGTTTGAACAGGTCTGACTTTAAACAGTCACTGGGGCTCATAACCAACATTTCTTTATTCGTGTCTCTGTTCTCCACATTCAGGACTCTAAGCAAATTAAAACACCAGAAGAAATTAGTTTTGTCTTTTCATGTAACTCATCAGAGCTGAAACGATCGGACGGAAAGTTAATCACCATTCTTTTCTTAATCAGTGGTTGTTTTTTGAGTGAAAGTGTCAGATGTTTGGTTCCGGCTTCTCCCGTGTCAGGATTTAAACTTTAATGTAACAGAGAGAACTGAGTGTCAGTGGCTCTGGGATTGCTGCTAAGGTATAGACATCACCTTGTAACAGCAGTGTTTTTACCATTTTATAGACAAACTGATATGTAGTTGTTTCCTTTATGAATCAATAATGAAAATAGTCAATTGCAGCCCTGTAACAAATACAGGAATGACTGCAAATAGAGAAAACCGGCCACCCTGTGGTGTTTGCAGTTGTGTTGGCTTGCTTGGTCTGGGGCCCCACTGTAGGATGGGGGCCTTTTACATGTCTGTGCCCAGGAGCCCGCTGTCTCGTGATCTGTCCATGCACATTGTACACACCTGTCTCCACTGTCAGCAATATTTTCTGCCCATCACCGTTTTAGAATCAGATGAATGTGTCATTGTGTTTGTGTTCAGGATCTGGGTTCATCTGCAGGATCCAAGAGACCGACCTGTGTGATCCTGATCAAACCTCATCAGGACTACCAGGATGCCTACGACGAGTGCGTGGAGGAGGTGTCCAACTTGCCCAAACCCCTCTGACACTCCTCAGCCAATCAGGGAGTTTAGGACTCCCTCTGGTTTCTCCTCAGAAATAATGACTGCTGTTGAAACCACTGCGTTTCTACACCTGAAGGATAAACCACATGTCAGACTGAGCCGAAGCTAGCCTAACACTTTCCTCCTGATTCTGGTGTTTATGCTGAGCTAGGCGAACACTTTCCCTCGGTTCCCGGTGTTTGTGCTGTGCTAGACTAAACCCACCAGGATTTTAATGAACACCAGTGTTTTTGTTTCCCACCCAAAGTGTGTAAATAACAACAAAATGCATTTTATTGCAGGATGAGTTTAACATGTTTTTTAACAAACACAATGTTATCAGTGAGATTATTTCCCCCTGTGCCACGGATAATTCGATCAGATGGACTCATTGATAACGTGTCTCCTGCCCAATGGCCGTTTGTATTTTATATTGATGTCTGGGTAAAAATAAAAATCAGCACACTGACATCTGGTCCTTCCTTGTGCAGAAAACTTTTTTTTACATTTTCGTGAACATGGACTCTGACTCTGATTGTTTCTGCTCTTCTCTATTATCTCACAAAGTCAGGTTTCTTATATTTGTCAATGTTGTAAATTCAAACTTTGGGACTAGTGATTTTAATTGTTTTTTAATTAAAGGAAAAGGGGACTCATCCTGTTTTCTCTGAACATGAACAGCTTCAAACTTACAACAAAACCAACACAAACAAGTTGGAGCTGGGAGACCTTCCTGGTTTCAGGCATTAGTAGAGATTTTCAATAGGAATCAAGTCATTGTTTCTTAATTTGTAAGTAAATGGTCAAAGAGTTTCTTGCAGTTGCACTGGGGCCTGCTCTTCGCCACTGGTTTAGTCCACCCACACTAAGCTGCTGTGCTCAGTTCTCCTTTGATGGCTTAGTTGATTCTTTGTGTCTTCGCGTATCCGACTTTTCTCTGCACTTTTGCCACGTCAGCGAATGTGACACCTGCTGTAAATGAAATGCTACTAAAATCTCTGAAAAACCAGCTTTAAAATTTCCATTTTAATGTCATATGTTTTGTTTTTTGTTTAATGGTAAAAATTGGCAAATTTGTCTTTGCATCTGCCATCTTGGTTTCTTGTAACCAGATTCTGCACAGTAGTGACCAGATGTGGACTGACAGCATCAGGCCTCCAATCAAAACTGTCAGTCAAATGAAATACAGCCCCTTTTATATCAATGACTGAATAAACACAATCTTACCAGAAAACCGCCACTTGTACACACGTCAGTGTCTACCAAGAACTATATAAGTGACATCTGATTTTTTTTTTTTTTTTTTTTCAGTTCATGTCCCCTCCGCTAACATGGAGGGGGCCAGGTTTGTGACCTATACTGCAACCAGCCATCAGGGGGGTGATCGGTCGTTGACCGACCCTGGGCTGTGCAGCACTTAAATTAAGTGCAAAAGCTTAAATTCTTGAGCACAGGCCGACTGCAGTAAAAGCCAAATCTGTTGGTTTAATTGAGAAACTAAATAGTAAATTTCTTCATATTCTGCATTAATCAAAACATTTTCATATTACACTATAGTCTGAGGAACTACATTTTCCAAAACCCTTCACAAGGTGCTCCTACAAAGATGCCATCAGAACTGTAACCCACTCAGACATTTACTCCTCATCTGCGTCTCTGTTTAAAGAAACTCAACTTCTCACTTATATCTGCTTATATCAGCAGATTCCAAATGTGCAGATTTAGTTACAACTAAAGGCCGGAAATATTCACATCCTTTCAAGTCTTATTTTGAAACATTTAACAACCCCAAAATACTGTAGGTTTTCTCTCAGATACAGGCTCCAAGTTAAAGGAACTATTATTCTCACTGGGTTAAAATCATTGAGTAGATGTAAAAATAAAAACATTTAATTTTAACAAACCAAATTTTGTTTTATTTGTGCAAAGTAAGTAAAACTGCTACTATATTGATATTTATCATCTTTACATGGAGTGGTCATTTGTTCCCTGAGTTTGACTTTCAGGCTGTGCCTCTCCCTTGCTCAGTGCGGGACTCACTGCCTTAAAGACTAAAGCCGGGGAACAAAAAGTCTCAGTATAAGTGAGCGTTGCGCATGTTTCTGATGCTTTGACAGCAGAGAACTCACTGACAGTCAAGTAAATTGTCCCAAAGCATGTATGACAAAGTCTCAGGAGGTGAACACAAACATGGGCTTTATTTAGGTGAGCTGAAAAAAAACAAGACCACTTTACCATACACATGTGACTCGGAATGAGTAATTTCACTAAATGCTGTAGAAATACAGGGTTTCTGCAGGTGTCAGCTAGTTTGATGTTGGACTTTTTCAAGACCTGCATTCAGGTTTTAAGTCTAAGTCCAAGAATTACTTGCAGAGTGACTCGTTCTGGGGCCTTGATGCCGCTCCCCATCTCAACACGCAACACTGTGATGGCAGGTGTTTCTTGAACTCCCCATGTGACCCCAGTGCCTCTATACCCAAGAGCTCCTGGTGTTTTTCATGGTGCAGCTTTGAGCTTGCTGAGTTGAACAGGCTCCAACCAAACAGTGGATGTTCTCAGTCCAGGTCTCAGTAAACCTGCACTTCTTCCTTACATTAGTCACAGACACAGCCACTGATGGAAGACGCCACGTCGCCATAAACAGCACAACATGCTCACCGAGCCTTCTCTGGTCAATTCTGAGCAGGATGGTTTGGTTTGTCCTTTTATTCCAAAGTGATAAATACGAACTGATAAGAGACAGAACTACATTATGGAGCCGATGCACCACAGGCTGTCTCTCCTCAGCATGTTCCCAGAAACGACGACTGAAGGTAACGTGACATTACAGAAGTAACGACATCTTAAAATAATCAGTTTATCCTGAACAGGATCGATCATTTGAGACCTGTCACAATCATATTTGAGACCCTTCAGGTCCTGCAGAAACCCTGAAAGAAAACACCCTTTATCCAACATTATGTGCTAAAAGTAGCATCTTACAGAAATAACGTTTAAAAGCTCATTTCCGAGGGGTTTTTCAGCTCTGAAAGGTTCACCGTCAGAAAAACCTTCAAACTGTTGAGCTGATACAAAGTTCCAAACTAATGCAACTATCAAAAACAAGCTCAAAGCAACGTGTGCAAAAATCAGACCCTTCCATTCACACCACAGAGCTGTTGATGGGTTACAACACCAGCTAGTGACGTATAACGTGGACGCTCATCTGAACCCTGCCTGTCGGGCTTCCCTCCGGGTCAGTCCGATCTGGTCAGGACCAGCTCTGCCCGCTCATGTAGGATCCAGCTGGGTCGGACAGCATACACTGTTTCTGCTGGCCAGAGCTGCGGTTTTTGGCATCGATGAGGAGCAGAGGAGACTGGGCGTAATGGCTGATGATTTCACTCACTGATGGAAAAGACTGAACACACACAGAAACCAGTTGGTACCATTGAATCATACGAGTAGTCCCAGTGGTGGACGAACTATCCAGAGGCTTTAAGTAATGTGATTTAGCATGTGTGTGTTCCTGTGCACAAGACCCATCCGAAAACCAGCAGCACCAGTGAACATGGTGTCCTCACTGTAATGTGTGTGAGTCCAGACCTTGGTCCAGCTCATCGCTCTGTGCTGTAGACCTCTACTGTTGTCCACCAGCTACTATTAAACCCCCCAGTGAGCCACACCACTGCACTGGGGGGCAGGTTTCCTCCTTAGGGAACACGGGAGGCCGTCTGTTTCCAACAGGCAGCTCCAACATGTTGCTCTGTGCAGGAGCTGGTGCAGGAGCTGGTGCAGCAACGCAACCGGAGCAGAGCAGCGACTCTGTGCACAGTGACGCTCTCAGCCCAGCCATTTGCTGGAAACGGATGGCCTCACATTTTTTCATTGTTGGTTTTAGTCTCCGGGTGGGATTTGTGGAAAATTACACAAGGATACAAAATCACTAGAGTCATCTATTAATTGTGTTGAGCTGCACTTCCTCTATCGTCCACCAGATGCTGCTGTGATCAGACTCTGACCAAATGAGGGTACATCCCAGTTCCTTCATTTGATTGTTCATGTCCCAAAACTCTTGGTTGTGAAGGCCTTTATCAGAGAACAGTTGGTGATTGTACGCTTCAGATGAAGGACTTGAGGAGAAGGTGTCTCATGTCTCTAAACACCCGTTTCCTCAACTCCTGTATCCTTGCATCTTTTTCTCGCACCTTACATGGGCGGGACTAAGTCACAAGGAAACATTGCAATTGAAGGAAACATGGATGGACTTAAGGTAACTGAGATGTACCCACAGTCAGTTAAAGAGCAGGTTCGGCTCTCAGGAGACAGCTTTCCTTTTCAAGGTTCATCTTTACCTCTTGGACTTTGAGTCCGGTTCCCAGCAGGAACTGCTGGTTCTGCTGTCTGATCTGGATGTTGTAGACCTTGTCCTGGTAGAAGACCATCAGGGTGTAGGGCTGATCGGCCAGCTGCTGGGTGCTGTCCCTCACCAAGTACACCCCGTCCTCAACAGGTAGACAGAGACAGATGTGAGGAGTGGACATCACAGGAAAACTTGTATAGAATGATGAAAACTTGATGCTTCCTTCATTCAGAGGAATATTTTTGGTACTAACACTTTTGTACTTTTATCCAGGTAAAATTAAGGACTTGGGATTTCAATAAAAGTTTTTCTGGCTTTTTTCAAATAACTGGATGTTTCCTCCACTTCTACAGAAACCAGGACCAGAGATGTTTGTGATTAGAGCTGCAACTAACAATCACCAGTGATCATCAAAATGTGTGTGTGTGTGTGTTACCTTTCTGACTTGTTTCAGATATCGTTCTGCCTGACCTCGGGTCACTTTACCCATGTACCAGACCGGATCCAGCCCCTGAAAACACATAAGGCATTTCAGTGGAGAAACTGTGTTCATATCAGGGCTGCAATGATGAGTCGACAGACTGCTGCATTCAAAGCCTTCACTTGTGTGAACGGATATCAGTGTTTACAAGAAACAGGAAGTACATGTTGCCATGGATACAATGAGTTACAGTGTGAGCTGCAACTTGGGCCCATTTGTAGTCAATATTTTGTGGCATTACTGTATATATGCTACTAGCAGTTCATATTTGCCGTGTACTATGGGATGTGCAAACAACTGTGGGTGAATTAATCTTCTGCGTTTGCAACACATTCTCATCCCAGGGCATGAAATACTGACACTTTGTCAAGTATCTGTAGCATCTGTATCTGCCACCAAAAGTGCTTGACAAAGCGTCAGTATTGGACACCCTGAGTCAAATACAAAGGCAAAAATGTGTTAAGTATCTGTGTGCATGTATGTGTTGTTACCTTTGTGTCTGTTGTAGCTGTGGGTGGAGGAGGACGAAATGACTGTCTGCTGTGGGCTCCGCTGAAGCTGCCTCTGTGTTCAGCCAGCGCTGCACAAACACAAGTCAGTATCACTGAGAGCTGAGCTTCTACAACTGAATATTCATAAAAAAAACAAAAAAAAACAAAAAAAAACAAAGTATTGCTTTAATGTTGTGTTGTTGCGATCTTACCAGACTGCAGTTTGTGAGGCAGAGAGCATGCAGTGGGGGCACTGGGAGGCGGACTGTCCCCAAACAAAACAAAACAGTTTATTTATACATGCAATAACTGTATCATGTATACATGATAATACGTCACATCAAAAATTGTGCATTTGTTGAGGACTATTTTCAGTGGTGGATTAATCCACATGTGGTCTCTAGTGAGTATTTGTGGCAGCAGAGCAGTCAATTTTATAAGATTTAGTGAAAGCAGAGGAACTGACCAGACACACTGAGCAAAGCAGCTTGTTTGCACAAAAAACTGCACAGAATACCTTTTATTTTTTAAACTTAAATGGGCCACCAATTGAGCCCTGAGGTGCTCCAGATACAATAAGCATGCGAATGATTATTTTTCCCAGTACTTTTTTCATACCCGTAACGGGAGGTGGCCCCAGGGATTCCAGGACGGGGTGGCAGACCTTTATTGTAGAGGGGAAAGGTGTTGTGTTTGGGAGCTGAAAGAGAAAAGCAGAATTTAAATGTTTGCTGAGCTGGGACTCAACTTTTTGCATTTTCAGGAATGTTAGTTCAGGAGTCCAAAGCCTTGAGGAATGGAGGAGAATCAGTTTGTAAGTGGGACAGCAGCTCAGCTCTGGAGATCACCCATTACCACAGCAACAGCACCTGACTGTTCAAATCCCAGTACTAAAATAATCCTTCAGCTCAAACCTCCACAAACAGCTTTTCATTAGATAAATAAACTAACTGACCAAGACACACCTGAATAAAGCAAGTACAACTAAATGTAGTAAAGGCCCCACTGCCTATTGATTTTCATGTACATATACAGTATAGATTTGTGTGTGTATACACACACGCACACAGATGCCAAACTTTCAAACAGAATTCTAATCATATCTATATAAAATAATTACAATTATTGTAAACACAATAAATAAATAATTTATAGTAATTAAGTACAAAAATAAAACAGAATAAAAAGAAAACAAGGAGTGATTTCAGGTTGTACTTTGCAAAGCATCAGAATTAAAAAGATGAAAATGTATCTACATGTTACGTTGTTTAGGCATCAATGTGCTAAATCTAGGCCGATTTGGTTTGGTATAAAGTATTTGCATGTATGCATGAAATACTTTACCCAACCAGTTCAATGTGCTTATTGATCACAGGCAGCAGTAAACTAAAGGGCTGCTGATGAGGACCATGGACGCTGACTGAAAGCTCGTCTCAGGAGATGTTAGCTGCAAACCGGGCACACTTCAGTGTCTTATGTTTGCCACGTTTTTAAAAAAGATGATACATATTAGAGAACAACAAACAAATCTCACCTTCATCGTGTGTTTGCTGACAAGAGAGAAGAGAAAAAGTTCAATTACATTTTTGACAGATTCACCATCATAATAAACCTGGAACAGTAGTGACTGAACCAAATGAAAACAACAAACGTGAGGATGATATAACAAAACTATAATATAACATAAAATTGGTTTTTATTTGTGCGTGTATCATCAATATGTTCTTTTTTCTTAAATGTGTTACATTTATCTCCTGTGAATTTTACCTTTTTTTTTTTTAAATATGCTTTAAGTGTCTGGTAAAATATAAATACAGTATAGTTTGTATGTGTTTGTACAATACATATTTATACAATGGTTCTGGAAATTACTGGGATCCCTTCACCTTTTTATTTTAAATTGATAAAAATTTTCATTTTTGTTCATGTGTACACTCAATAACCTATAGTGACAAAATGTTTTTAGCAGATTTTGTAAATTTGTTAAAAATCCAAACCTGCAATCTCTCATTTACCAAACTATAAAATATAGCTTTAAAATGAAACCTACAACACAATAAAGTGCACAGAAACTAAAGGATTTAAGTGGCTTGTGAAGTCGCTGTGTGTTTCAATGTCATGGCTGGGGGTCACTCCAGAAAAATCAGACCAAAAAGAACATCACCTTACCTCTCTCCTGTCATCAAACCTGTCAAACCACACCACACAATAAAAATCAGATTATTATCAAATAACTGCAATAGGCTCAGTGATCCTACAGCTGTTTCATGAAACACAACAATAAGATTAATTTAGTGCTGATGCACTGGAAGCAAATGTCACCAGTTCATGGTTGGATCTGTTTTCCAGACTTCTGTGTGCTGACCTGTTGGGCGAAGGCCGGGCCGAAGAGCCGCTCCTGCTGATGGAGGAGGCGGGTGACGGGACAACAGGAGGTTTAGGCCAGGTGGAGGCTTCGGGGGCGCCCGGCTGAGACCTGAGCACACAAACGTACCAAACACGCACACGTCACCAACTAAAGAAGTATGTTTTTTAAATGTCTCGGTTCATTTATCTGAAAAACAGTTGCAAAGTGAGTTTGTTTACACAAACGACAGCGATACTGACCAGATTTACAAGTGCCAGGCTTTCTGCAGTGTTCACCAAATTAAAGGTGAGACTTTTGAGAAAAGTCAACATTTCATACCACTGTTAGCATCAGACCAGTCAATGAGTGACAGAAAACCAGCAGGGATAAAAAGGCCTGCCATTATTAACTAAGTGAACTGAATATACCTACTGATATGTTTTTATCTGTTTTTCAAAAGTAACAGTATATATTAGGAGTAATTAGTTTACACAACCTGGACTGTGATGGACACATTAACCAATTTAAAATAATTAATTCATCCAAGTTTGTATACTTACTTCCAAGATGGTCTGCTTGGCTGTAAGCAACACAGAAATCAGATTAAAACAATACAGATCAAAAGTTAAGAGTATTTTTGAAAAGCATTCAAGGTACAAGGTCGTGTTTGTGTCTATGATTTAATGACAGCGGAGGCTCTCCTGTTAAATAACGTTAATTCAAAGAGACACTTGCCTTGTCCACTGTGTTGCAGTGAGGTCCTGTGAAGAGAAGAAAACAAAATTATTGGAACTTGTTAAACCATAAGATCTGATTTAACTTCATGTTTTTGTTTGTTGCAGAGGTAGGTGATGAGCCTCTAGAGGGGGCTCAACCCTTATTTATACATTAAAATTAAAACATGACTGAAACTGAAATATCAGAGGGTCCCTGAACACAGCAAAAGTCAAAGTAACACAACCTTACAACCCTTTTTAAGACTTTGTGGAAGAGTTGATTCCCCTGCTGGTAACTTTTAACCAGTGGAATGACATCAAAGTAAAAGCTGATATTTCTGGAAAAGTGACTGGCAGAGAGGCCAAGTAAACAAATAAAGAACCACAGAGACATAGTTACCTCGCATGGGGGACGGGTTGGGTTTGCCCGGTTTGTTGGCACGAAAAATCTGTGGTGGCCCTGGAGGAACTGAGCACAACAAAGCAACGGGTTTAATATGGTGGGATTAATTTCTCACCTGAAATATCTCAAAACTGAACTTGGAAAAACAGTAGCATTGTAACTACAGTCAAAGCTGCATTCGGGCTGGATTGTGTTTGTGGTGAGACTGTTCTCTATGAGATGTGTTTTTTTTGTCCCATGTTAGTTTATGTGTTGTCACAGTGTCTCCTTGCGTCTCAGGCAGGTTATGCAGCCTCTGTTCCTCTGGTTTCTCTATGGGTTTATGGTGGTTAGTTGTGAAAGGACATCAAAGGTGACGTGATGCTCAGGAGGTGGATGTCAGACTGAGTCAGACCAACACATGTTTCATGTCTGTGTGGTCACACCGAGTCAGGACTAGTTTGGACTCTAATCCACCTCACTCATGGTCTCTGCCGTTTCAAGGAATCTGATAAGTTGAACAGCTGCAGGTTACTCACTTTTTCCTGCTGGTCGCCCACCACATTGTGGGGAGGGGTCTCTCCTAGAGGACGGCTCTCCTGGCTACAAACGCACACACAAGCTTAAAATCTCTGCACATCAGCTGTTAACTGACTTACTGTGTAAAATCACTGATTTCAGGTTGGACTCACCATCCGGGCAGATGGAGCAGGCGGGGTGAAGGCTGGGGAGCGGGGATTCACAGCAGGAGGTTGTCCTCTGGTTGGCGCAAGGTTATCTACACACACACACGCACATGCATGGCCTGTGTTATTGTCTTTTTCATTTATTCAGGTGAATTGGACTTTGTCACATCATTCAATCAGACCACAATTATGACCCACTAGGGACCTACTCCACCTACTAGCTTGTCATCAATATATGTGGTAATGATGCCCCCTGGTGGATGTAGTAAGAATAACAAGTTAATGAGCTAATTAAGTGGCAGTTTATGGAGGGACAACATCCACTTTAGATGGAGGGTGGGGCGGGTGGCTGGACCAGACAAAGGAGAGGGGCCGTCCCCATCTGCAACCACACTGACAACTGTACAGTAGTCGCAATCATATTGTAATCACAAATCACAGTGATGAAGGCCCTGTAATGTTAAGGAAGTAGTCATTCTAACCCCAACCACCATCGTTTCCCAAACATAACCACATAGTTTTTGTGCTTAAACCTAAGAGTTAATGGGGACGCTGAGGACTTTTAAGAAAATACTGTTTTTGACAACATGACACGTAGTAAAATGTCAGTATGTAAATCTACACTTATTTTTGTCTTGATATCTAATCTTCAGAATGTGTGTACCTATGTAGTCGTCATCTCCGATGGGCAGGGTGGGGCACAGCTTGTGATGCAGGTCCTCCGGAGGCTCGGACGGAGGAGGCTCATAGTCGTTTCCATCTACTTCATCATTCGGTGACTCGTAGTCTCCCCCGCTGCTCTCGTCCCCGCTGCACGGACTCTCGTATTCATTGTCCAAGTCATCATCCTGATAAGGGAAACAAAGAAATAGATGAAGGGAAAATCAGAACTAAACAGGATCATATCATGTATCTGTCATCACAGGTAGGCAGTCCCACTGCAGCCAGTGTTAATCCCTTTTCACCTAGTTTTACACTTCCTGCTGCAGGAAGGCACTTTGTGGCCTGTTCTCTTCGGAGGGTAGGACCTCAGCAAAGGGTGCCACTGTTGACCCTGCACAATGTGGCAGTGGGGGCAGTAAAACTCAGAGGTGGGAGACTCAAGTCACATGATTTGACTTGAGTCAGGATTAAGCTGCCAATCTGAGGACTTGCGATTTGCTTGACTGACATTGGATTGACTTGACTTGGTTTTCATGACTTGAGACTTGACTTAGATGTAAGACAGATGACTCAAAATTACTTCCATTTTTTATTAAATATTTGCATTTTTCTAGACCATGAGACTTTTTGGAAACACATAACTGGGTGATTTCTAGTGCCGTGTGCTCCAACCTGGCAACCTACCAGAACGCAGCAACACTAACACAACACCCAACTTTATCTGTCACTACGAATCTCACAAAGGAAGGTAAGTATGTGAATGTGTCTTCTCAGCTAATTTATTGGTTGGTCAAAGTTAGCTAAACAGCTAATGTTAACTGTAACCTGTTAGACTTGGCTTCAAGTCAATTACGCAGTTTATTGAGAAGAGTTTCTGATGGCCATGAAAGGCATGTCTCTTTATTTAATAGCTACATTTCTACCCTGCACAATTAATAATCACAGGAAGTTTTTGAAAGTTTCACTTAAACAATATTCCCATGACATTATCAATCATCAGAACTTTGTAAGACTTGACTTGTGACTCGTTTGACTTATAGTAGGGACTCGACTTGCTTGATTCTCTAGCCCCATAGTAACTTGGGATTTGCTTGAGACTTGGAGGTTAATACTTGAGACTGGCACATGTGCGACTTACTCCCACCTCTGGTAAAACTACAGCGCCTGTACCAAGCACCCGGGACCAACGCTGGGCTGTGAAGTGGCGGCCAAACTGTGTTTCTACGACTACCGCTTTCACCACATGGCACACACTGGCCAAGAAAGCATTGTCCCATAAACAATCCCTGGAAAACAAGCGCAGATCATTTAGAGCATCCAGAAGGGCCGTAGGATATTTGTCATTTATCCTATGCTCGCTGGTCATCAGTGTCTGGTGTAATAAATGTTCTACACCGCCACCGCCCAAAATCCCAATAGAGACAAGACAAGACCCTGGAGTGTTGCTGGTTAAATGAAAGGAAAAGAGATGAAGGTCAGACTTACAAACTCGTCTTCACCCCAGCCCTGAACATCAGCGGCGGTGGTGACTGCGGAGGAAGCTTCGCGTTAGCACCACATATACATGGCACATTTCTGTGTTTACATGTTTACATCGTCAGTTGGACTAAGACCTAATTCAACATTAGAACCAGAATGTGTTCACAGCCTCTAATGTGAACCTGACGTTATTTTATACTCGGAGAAACAACTGTGTCGCTCACTTGTTGAATGTAGAAAAACGCTAAGCTCCCAAGACTGGGAGAAGCACTTTATGCAACATCTGAAATGAGTGAATCAAATCAAATCAATATATATTGATTCTTGGCTTTGTGAATCAAAATCAAGAAATCAACAAATATCCATCAGTGTATAATTATGTAAACCAGTTTCTTCCTGATGGGGTGGCATCATTCGCACTGATAGGACCTGCTGCGTTTGTTTCTGACGGCCTTGTGGCTGTGTCTCGTGATGTCATGTAATGAGTGCATGTTATCTATAACGAGTGCCAGGTGGAAACCATCTGCTTATGCTCGCTTCGCCTGAGCCAAGAGCTTTTTTCTTTTATTTACTAAAATATGAACGAGTTCTTACCTGGCTCCTGATATTTCGTCAATCTGTGGTGGAAACAAAGACAAACAGAGAGGGAGAAGGTTTTGCATCAAGTTCATGGATGTCAGCTGGCGGGTTTTAAACTGAACCTGTTCAGCAGCTGAACTGATGTGATGGTTCGTATCAAACAGGCACATACTTTTTCCCAAACAGGCCTCTCTTCTCCTCCTTCTTGCTGATTTCACTGCTGATCTTGGAGATGATCCTGAGGAGACAGACAGACTCCTGTTAAACAACTTTCTGTTCATTGTTCACTGATGTAAACGCTTGAGGCCGTAAATCCAGAGCGCCTCTTTTCATGTAGAGGCGTTTTGTGTCCCAGATGATCTGATGAGTCCAATAAAAGTAAAATGGGTCGAAGCGCTCCTCGTTCACTGATAGTGACACTAATCATGTGATTCATACTCTTCATTTCACAGGTGATGAACCTCTGCAGTTTCACCTGTGACTGGATGAATAAGCCTGTTTGTGTTTCTGGTAAATTTGCCTTTGACACAGTTTCCACACTGGTTCCACACAAAGTTCTGGTTCCACCTTTTTCACGTGACACTGTTGAATTTACACCAATGAGCCAAACATTTTCCCTGGCCAGTGAAACAAATCAGTGGATTATCTTGTCACAGGTGCATGTCAAGCTCTGGGATCATGGCTATATTAAGGAGAACTGGACCCTGGACTCAAACACGGTGCCTGGCCACTCAAATGAAAACTGCTCACCTGGCACTTGAGCCAGGATGTTTTCTAGCCTCTGCTTTGTGCGTCCCGCCGCATATGCTCAGTAGTGTTTCCCCAAGTGGTCCATAGGCCTTACACTATGAACACCACAATAAAACCCAGGTTTCTAGGTTCTGGAAAAGTTGTACGAATATAAAACCTCCATTTTTTAAATTCATAATACACAGAGCTGGTTTCTGGTTCACGTCTCTTTAATCATTGTGGGAAATGCTTTTTGTGCCACAGGGGGACTTTCTGCTGCAGTACCACAAGTGGCCACTGGGATCAGCTGCCGTCACATCCAGCTCTCTTGATACATCCATATGTTTCCCACCTCACAGACAGGAAACTTATGAGGAGCCCAGCTGCCCTACCTGTATGATTTACTATGTTCACCTTGTCATGGTTTTTATCTGGACTGTGTTCACTTATGGAATATCCTCTTACATACACCCTGATGCTGCCTTATGTGTTTAAGCCTCAGTGTGTCTCAGCACTAGTCGGACGTCACTGACGTTGAATCATAGGGCAGCTGTGGGTGGTGTTATAGTAACATTAGTCAGAACTCACGGAGCGTGGAGCTTGGGGAATTTCTGGAGGTCATTGTCGCTCAGATTCTGCAACAACAAAAAGAAGAAAAGTGAAGCACACCTTCACATTTTATGGCATTTACAGCTATAGACTAGAGCTCCTTTCCTCCACCTCCTTCTGTCCTCCCCTACGTTTCCTTCCCCACTGCCATCTTTGCATTTGTCTCTCAGTAGAACAGCTAGCATGAGGATTTTACAGAGTCCCAGAGCTGATTCTTAACATTAGCTTTAAAATAAACACTGGTTTTAAATCTAAATGTTGCTTTGTTTATTGAGCTCACCACAAATCTGGAGCCGCTGATAGAGTTCTTCAGCACAGCTTTATCACAGCCGGACAGACTCATCTGGAAGCACAGTGAACACAACCCACAGTGAACCGTCATAAGCTAACACACCCTTGTCCATAACCACTGGAGCATCTGGTAGTAAACGAACCTGTAAATCTCATGAGATCACGACGAATCGTCATGTGTCCATGTACCAAAACAAATATGCACACAACCAGTTTACAGTGTTAATATCATCCATCGTTACTTTGCAGTTCAATCTGAGCTGACGGCCCAGAGTTTGGATGAAACTCAAGAGGCTGGACAATGTGGACTGTAGGGAAGTTGGTTCATCAGTCCTGCTGGGTCTGTGGCCCAATGAGGCTTCACTCCATTCCAGTCGTCCAGTGCCTTCACACCACAGCACCTTAATCTTGGCACCTGACTTTGATTTAGTCAGACATTATCTTTGAATTTTTGTTTCTTTTACTCCTGTTCTCCTTAGTTTTATCCTGCATTTTTAATATTCCTCTAAACATTTTGAAACTACAGCTGTCACCATCTTTGATGTGTGCTGTTGCTGTGGTTATGGGTGTGTGACTGTTCACACACAGTGGATACATCTCGAGGTTTTATTAACCATACGAGACGTCCTTTCCTCTGAGCCTTCACCTGAAGCACCCAATCACCAACGAAGTGCCAATAAAGGGGTGTGATGGTCTCTAAAAGAAAGGATGCTCCAGTGTCTCCTTGCTCGTGGCTCCTCCAGTAGCCTCCTCACTCCTCTGGAACCAAGGACATGGGAACGACCATGTAAGACACATGAAATGTACCCATGGACTCTGTGGGTACATTTCATGTGTCTTACATCCTATAAGATGGTGAGTGCATGCTTCAAATGAAGGATCAGAGCAAAATATGTCTCCTGTCCTTAATAACGTGTTTCCTCCCTCCCCATGTTTCTCCGCATCTTACATGGATGGGACTAAGACACAAGGAAAAGAGTCAAGTAAGGGAAGCAATGGTGTCCGTGTCAGGTTGCAGAACTCTCGGGGCCACAGCCGTGATAGGCGCAGCGGTCCATCTGTTCCAGGGGTTTACACACTGACTGGGCCAAAGGTCACTTTCTCTATATGGTTTATTTTGTTGACTGTTGCAGTCCAGTCATCCTTTGGTGAGGTGGCTGTTGTGTGATAGCTTTCTTGCTAATTGCCAAGGCTATTTTAAAAAGAAATTTTAATAATATCTAATAATGAACTTGACACATCAGAAAAAAAATCTTGTTGTTCCAGAGGAAACAATATTTGGACCTTTGCTGCTTTGTTTCCAGTGTTTTGACCTGTGAACCTGTGTCACAGCTGCATCCAGTTTGCTCTGCAGAAAACACCCAGCAGGATTTCTACCGATCTGTCTGTGTGTCCAACTAAGGCTGCTGCAAGCTCACAGTGGCACAGCAGGGGATTTAGACCATTGCTGAGGCGGCTGCTGTCTCAGTGCGAACATGTTTGAGGAGCTGCAGTGTTGGTCAGTGTGAGACGAAGTATGAAAGAGGACGTTTCAAGACAACAATAGGAAAGTTGTTATTTTTGTTACTGGGTCAAACTTCACACCCTTACCTGGACTAACTTCACCCTAGACACAGAATCCACTGATTGCAGTTCATCTTTTTTTGCAAATGTTTCACTTCCAGCGCTGGAAGTGAATATTTTTACAACACTGTGTGAAACAATGTGACAGCAGTGTTTAATATTCAACTATCTGTGATACTAATAACTACCTGTCAACTCCTGACTCTGGCAGAGGTGGG